ATTCGATTCAAGTGAGCGTCTCTCTGAGAAAAGAAATGGACCCACTCTCCTCGCGACCCGGCCCTCTAATGGAATTTTTATTATCAGCAAACAAACTTTCACTTGATACTGTGTGAAAGCTTAGTTGCTAGTGGTAAGACATCGAAATAGATAGCCGGGTGGATACTAGTGGGTCCGTATCTTTTCTAGGAAAAGCCCTAAATTGCCGCCTCTACTTCAGAGCTCACCTCACTGCGCGGAATTTGTAGTTTGCTCAAGAGGCGGTGGAAGGGACGTGGTTTGTCCATTTCACCGCTTCCATTTTATGCATGAAAAAAGTGAAAGCTGCACAGGACAAACAAGAAATTTGGAGTCTTGTTTAGGTCTTGTAGTAGTAGTAGTCTTGCACAGATGTTACCCCTAGTCGACCTTGGTGAAATCCTCTGGCGCAAAATGGAGAAAACCCAAGGCTCCGCTGTTCTTACACGACGCAGCACAACTAGAATCGTGACTTCGTTCCATCAAGACTACGGGTGCCTTTTACCGATTCAAGGTTTAGCAGATTACAGAGCTTCTAATGCTCACAGGCGGAACATGCTTCATTCGGATCCCGGACATCGTTCTGGCAGACAAACATGGCTACTTCTAATGCATTCAAAATGAACTGAGGATATTACAGCAACTGTGTCCGATGTTACCAAAAAACATATACCCTTCCAAACTTATCGCAATAAGCACGAATACCGATGCGAAGGTCTATTTTCCTGACCACGATAGAGTGGCTTTTTACATGTTAATGGCTTTGACTTCAATTTGGAGTCACATTATGCTCTTACCACATTTTGGTCGTGTTGGTTCATTTGAGGAGCTGGCATTTCCTCGCAAAATGTAGCTGTCCTTACATTTAGAGCAGTTGACAACAGTGTGAGCTGTAATAGGGCCTCAAATATACTACATGCAATCTCCTCCATATATTCAACCATTCACGATGCGTTTATTGAGTTCTCGGTAATCTACCTAAATTGTGGAGTCACTTCGCTTCATGTTGACGAGAACTACGAAAGTGTCCTCGAGAATGTTGAGTGTTCTCGGTCGCCTTCTTCAGCACTTCAACTTTCTCTCCAGATTTTTGCCAGTTTGTATTGGTAACAATCATATTTTCGTAAGAATAGACCCAGTATTTCTATCATTTTTTTTGACCTTTCACCTGTGGAGTCAGCGTAGCCCTTTGTGTGCAGAAAGGAAGCTGCACTCTCGAAATGTTTAACTTTTAAAACACTAAAAACACCTAAACACTTTATATTCTCCGCATTGCTATAGCTACAGGCCGAGCTCAACTGAGTTTTATACATCTCGCAAAATCTTTTTTGTGGAATGAGTATGCCTGTAAGTGAGTCCATGAGCTTATTCCGGAGGTGGGTTTATGATTGGGGCATCAGTCTTTGCACATTTTGCAAGTTGTTTTGAGTTTATTTGTTTCCTTCATGATAATTAACATTTAACATATATACGTAACGTCATTATCAACGAGGTACTGCCAATTATCAGGCACTTGTGGATCTTGCTTGCATAAAATTCTTGAGGTTCCGAGGAGAAGAATTTTGTACGATGCTGGACTCAACAAATCACACACTGCCGAGCAACTCGGCGAGAGCCAATGTGTTGTCTGCTTTCACCTCAATCATTCTGAGACCTACAGTACCGGTGTAGCAACTGAACGAAAGAGAAGCCTATACGCAAGTGATGAATGGGAGACAAGCTCTTATTAGCAGCCGCGGTGTCAACGAAATCTGAGCACACTTGAGGCTATTAGTCTCGACATCGACTGTCCGGAGGACTATCAACCGCATCAGCGACATTACGCGAGAAGTTGTGAGAGAAGCGCCACGATTAACGGACGTTTGCGAACATTCCTGTCTTGGGTTCGCCGTTTTGGCGGACTGGCAGCTGTGAAACTGTATTTGATTTTGTACAATTACTTCATATATTCCGATAATTATTCACGACAATGAGAGTTCTAACTTGGATGAACCCGATGTTGATGCTACTCCCGAGATCTGAGAAAAGCAGTGCAGTTTGGTGAATTTTCGACGGCGAACTGCTGAAGAGGGAGAGGAGCTTCTAGGTGGGACAAAAAGGTGTTTGTTGCCGATGAGTGGGTTCGTGAGGGTATTAATATGTTTTTGACTCTGTTTTGTTGCCATTCATTGACAGGCGACGAAAGCAGAAGCTAGTTTTTCAACAAGTAATGAAGCGATCACTCTAGCACGTCAACTTTGATTTTGTTCTAACAGCAGATTGTAGCTATGGAGCGGCTAGCGTGTAGAGATAATCTGAATTCCATAGAAAATCTATGAGGTATTACTGTGCGACTGATACACAACAAAAGCAGGCAGTTTTTCACAACTGTCTGGCTAAAAAATTCGACCATGCATTTCTAGAGTAGCATAGATTCTGCAGACGTCGAGAATCTGTCACCAATATGCCACATCTACTAATGGGACCTTTTTTGTAAAAAAAAAGAGGACCTGTTAACTTTTGAGTTCCAGTGAGGTTTCTCACTGGCTCAGTAGAAACTCTTAATCAGGGAGGACGTGTGATATGAAACGGCCGGAATTTGGAAAGATACTTGCTAAAAAGAATCCCGATGCAAACTTTTTTGGAATCACTTGCGTTATTGCTTTCTTGTGCAGAGAACCTCATGGTGTATGCCTTACTATTCAGTAAATGCTGCGTGTAAGGGTTTTGGCTAAATAAGAGTTGGAGAAATAAGAGTTGCAACGCACTACATTTTTAGAAGACATCGAGAGTTGTACAGATGCGAGAAATACAAAAAAATCTTCCGAAGCTTTATTTTGGTTCGATGTTTTGTTAACTGCCGCTATTTCGCTGCAGTACATGACACCAAAGCCTCACAAAATTGCCGAATTATGGACGACACTTCGGCTTCGGATGGACCTCGAACCCGTACTTGTACTGTTTACCTTGTGTCGATATTTCAAACGAAAGTTCAACCTTGAAGATCATACTAGCATATGGGGCGTCATCAAGTGATTCCTTCAATACTAAGCGGCTAGCGATTTATGGACAAAATTTCACTCTCGGACGGGACTCGAACCCGTACTTGTCCTTTCCGGGGACCGTGCTCTTATCCCTAACACCATCGAGATCCCCCTTGCTCTCGCCTTTTCAATGGGTTTTATGCCGTAGTTTGCCAGCAATCACACATTCAACGTGGGTATCCAGTTAGAAAACATTTGCATTATACTGTAAAGCTGAAAGTCTTTTTTTTGGGTTCACAAATGCTGGTTCGAGACCCGTAGCTAACCTGATGATGTATGCCGTAATATTTAGTCAATGCTTCGTGTAAGGGTTTTAGTAGAATAAGAGTTAGACATATAGTAGTGCAACGCACTCTATTTTTTGATGACATCAAGAGTTGCGCAAAAGAGAGTAATACAGAGAAATCTTTCCAAGCTTTGTTATTACTCGATGTTTTGTTAACTGCCATTATTATTGGGTTGTCCAAAAAGTTTCCGCCGATTTTTGATTCATCTTCGAATGAAAATTCCTAGAAGAAGAAACCCATTGAATGAACAATATATCCTTCATTCTGTTTAGTAAGGATTTACCATCTTCCTGTAGGTTCCAGTTCCCCTCTTTCATAAAAGGTTCCAGAGTTAAAATCGAAAAACCCTTTCAGGTGCTTTTCGCAGTCCTCTAGCGGATTGAACGATTTTCCATTCAAAGGATTTTGCAGAAACCTAAACAAGTGGTATTCTGATGGTGCTATGTCTGGACTATATGGGGAGTGTGGTAAGACATCCCACCCAAGCTTTAGCAACTTTTGACGTGTGGCCAAAAATACGTGTGGTCTGGAGGTACCCTTTAGAAGATTACGCCCTCACGTTGGTCACTTCGGGTCGCTTTTGGTCTATCGCTGCCTCCATATTTTCTAGCTAACCATAGTACCTTTCCGAAGTAATCGTTTGATCATGTGACAACAGCTCATGGTAAGTGATTTCTTTGGAGTTCTATCAGCCACTCGGCATAGTATTCCGCATCCAGTTTTTGACTTTGCAACGGTCTGTGACGGCTCACTAGAGGGGCTCCACGATCTCTTCCACTTCTCACTGTTGTACACAATCCAATTTTTGTCCCTCTTTCTCATTCGTCTGAGAAACGGCTCTTTCTTATTTCTTTTGAGCAACGAGTCGCACATGGAGGCGCGGTCCATCACATCGCGATCGCTCATTTCGCGAGATATCTAAACACCAAGGCGTTTTACAAAACCAAGTGTCTGCAGATGACCATGAATGGTCAATCTCGAAACAATAAGCCCTTGTACTACTCCCTGAGTAGCTATGTGCTGATTCGCTTTGGTCCACATCTTGATTTGGTCGTTTTAACTGATGATAGTCTCCTTGAAGGTTGCCGGTCTTTAGGTTAAATTCACTCTGAGTGGATTCCGCTAACTAGTCATGCACTGTACGTTCCTCAAGAGAATGGTCTACTCAAACGTCAAATATCTTCCATGCGGCTTGAGCTGCATTTTAGGCCTTGTGGTAGAAGAAATACTTCAGATGCCGAAAATGCGCGCAGTGGTTCTCCATTTTCACACGAGTCCTGTACAGACAAACTCCGACAAATGTTGACAGAATTTTAACAGGAATATAGAGGAGGACCTACTCTTTCAGAATACATATAACTTTATGAGGTTGGGTCCTTCATCTTTTGCACAACAGTTGATAAATCCGGGGCGTTGAAAATTGGCGGGAACTTTCGGACAACCCAATACTTTTTGGAGGCAAAATTTTTCCATATGAGTTGACAACCCCCTGAACTTCCATTGCCTTCCGCACTCTCATAAAGCGAAATCGAGGAGTCCCAAATACTCTCCCATACTCATGAAACGTCGGCCGGATTATATTGATGACCTAGTTGCAGGTATATGCATTTGCAATGAAACTTAGAACACACAAGCTATAAAGGGGGAGGGTTACTAGGATATAGGCGATTCGATGGCTATAAAGGGATACGATGCAGTGGTGAAGCATTAGCATGAGGATTTGTACTTCTATGTGCACGATTGCGCGCATAAGCGCGGTTCTTCGCTCTTGCCTCATGCAGTGTCCCACGAAGCTGGAACCAAACATGGCACATGCTAAAGTTTTTTGCACCTCTTATTTGTATTCAGTACTCTCTGCCTAAGTTCAATACTTGTAAATGGCTCGCGCTCAAGACATGGCTGTTTGAAGTTTGAACAAAAAAAAGATTCCTTTCATCTTTCCATACCAAGGACCAAGGATTTGGGATAGTGAAAACGAGGGGGGCCACCTATTGAGCCATTGCAAATACTCGAGAAGTAAATTATTCAGATTATGATGCAGTCTCCGCGCTCCAATATTCCGGTCTCATAAACCGCAATCTAGATCGAAGAATATCAGACGAGGGCTGACGATGAGCCTTAGTAATGCCCATCTATCTTGTTTCGGCCTTCTTAGGAGCAGTCTGTGATAAATGGAGATCAGGGTCACCTTCCCACCGGTAGAATCACGTTCCTAGATGACATGAATCCGACTCTCCGTCTTTGCAAGGCTTGCCTGCTCTAAACTTCGGAGTGGGCGCGGTAAAGAAGCAACTTTAGCAGGTGAAAGCCCTTCTAAGTTATCACATTTCTGCAGGTAATTTCAAACATACTCAACTACTAGCTGGTAGCAATCTTGACGAGAGCATGTACTTCATCGTTTATCAGTTGACGGTGAGTTTGTTGCACACTGAGCCTTGTAGTCGTTTCCAAAACTTGTATTCACGAAATTTCCTTGCATTACGTATCTCTATTTGCAGAGTATCTTCCCGGTTCAGGACTTCTTTCAAAAAAAGGATTTTGTCCCGGACCGATCTACATGGTTGAGAGCCATTTCTGATCTGTTGCCACAACAGATGATAAAAAGTCAGCTGGCTTTAGCGGCGATACTGCACGAGTACGAGCCTGCTAACCTACCAGGTACTAGTTATTTCTAGGGAATGACTTGGGGAAATGAAGATGTCGAACCATAAAGTGAGAAGTTGCTGGCTATGTGTGTGCATGGGCATATGGTAGTTTCGAGAGTAACTAGCGTGGGGACGGAAAAATTTTTGCATGACAAGCGTCGCTTTGTTTAGCATCATTTTCAACAGGGTGATACTTTTTCCTGTAATGTCTTGATATAGTGCAGCTAAATAATAAGCATACTCTGTTTTTTATTTTCGATCATTCGTCTGATTGACAGTTTATGAAAGCGTTATTACTATATGTACTTCGCAGCTGCTGCAGAGGCATAGCTGAGGTAACAATTTTGATTTTGACCAGAGTTCAAATTTTATTCGACTAACCTATGTTGCGATGCAAAGATGTTTCATCAATCATTCGAGTAAGGATGAGGTTTTGGGAGTCTTCATGAGCACTACGAAACCTCATCCATCTTGATCTCCATGTTATTTGATCGAGAAGGTTGAATCAGAACATCGATATAGAACTTTTATGACACTGCTCGTTTCGAATTTTTTTCTCGACCATATGGGCATCTCTGAGAAAGATAGTTTGTTAGAGGAAGGGATGCTTCAAAATAACTTTGTACCTCTATCTGTGCATAACTGCTGTTTCTTTATATGTCTCTGCAACACACGCCCTCTCACAACTACATCATTTGATTTGGTGCCATCTATTCTTTTCTTTGATTGATCTATACTGTAATGAATTCTACTTCTCTGGAAAGAAATCGTGACGAGACTATGCTTGCACGCAGCGCTGTCTACTATTAGTTAGTGGAGCTTGAAAAAAAGGGTGAGTCAGGATGGTGATAGAACGAAGCACAATTTATTCATTCGTGCTATGAGAGCAGATCTATCGAACAGGCAATGTCTACTGGTTCATAAGCTGACACCCTCAATAGCAAGCACACAGACCCCATAAGGTAGTCATTGGGGATGGGAATTAGTGCAATACTCTGTTACTCTTCACTTTGCCCAAGAGTTAAGCGAAGCATGCCCCGCTTTTAATGTTTCTAAATTCGACGTCTATGTGCAATTGGACAGTATTTACCCCATCACGACAACGTCAGAATACCTAATACAACAAAAATTCACAGCAGACTAGCCGCTCGCAGCAACCCTCCCCCAGATCTCGCTTCCTCCAACCATCACATTACCAAGAACTCCAACACTACATGGACAGTCAAAACTCAGGATTTAGCTGCGACGTTCGAGGGAAGGGAAAACATCAACATCGAATATATCTATTTTGGACTTCAAGTGCCTGAGCAATTATGCTTTCAATAGAGGGGCACCGCTTTCAATAGACTTACTTAAACTTTGGGGAAGATAATTGTGTTCAATGACTTCGGGGGAAGACTCTGCCTTCAATGAATTATTTCAAAACATTTCGGAAAATTTGCGGTTGTTGTTCGAGGGATGTGCAAATTTTCGGTTCCAAATAGGTAAACAATCTTACATCAATCATTACATCATACTGGAATCGGCTGGTGCGCTGGTAGCAACACTATACTCGTGGTTTTGCATTGGTTCATCAAGATCCTACCAAAATATGCTAAGTGGGTTTGCTGGTTCGTTAGGTGTTTGTATGCCTGTATATGTGTGCATGTGTGAGTGCGTGTGTTGGGAGGGCATGGAAGCAGGCAGACTAAAATCGAAATAGTCAGAGCCTGGGAGCCGAAATATTTGAAATTCATAATTGCCAAAGGCAATCATCCATGTTCGACTCTCGATAAATCTTGGCATAGCTTTGCATTAATTTTATAAGATATTAATAAAACCTGCTGCCAAGATGGTTAATAAGTTCTGATCAACTTACGTTTCGGCGTTATCGCCTTCTTCAGAGTTGGAAACCTAAAGGTAATCGCTATCCATCCCTCATTCAACAATTGAACCTCAAAAACCGGTTCCCTAGACCTAATGTTTCCAAATGGGCATGGTAACCTTCAAAACATTCAACCCACCTCCAACAACAACCGGTCGTTAGGACGACCGCCGCTAAACTGACCCATAGGGACTTGGGGTAGCTTCCGATGATATGCACTATCCCTCCCGCCGTGATACCGGAGGCATATAAAACCCACAGAGGGCAGAGAAAGGCGCGAGTTCACTAGCTACGGCTAGGCACTCGTCCTTCTATTCTAAAGGCAACTTCAGAACTCACCTTACCAGGTGAGGATCCCAAGTCGAAGTGGTCGTTTGGAATGGGACCTACACTGATAGACGTCTTTTCGTATGCTGATCTCAAATCTATTTTCCTAATTTGACGAGCGTTTCTCTGAATGAAGTCATGAGAAGAATTTAGGTCAGCCTTAACATAGAGAGTTTAGGTTACATGGATGCACAAAATTCTAGAGCGGTGGCTTGGAGCAGTGGTGGGTGTGACACCTCGTGTGCGAGAGACCGGGTTTCGGATTTTTGAGGGGCAGGAGTTTTGCATTCGGTTAAATTCTCCTTATAGCCCATGGAATATTTTTATGTTGATTTCATCGCGTTTTACATTTTTTCGATGGCTGTAGTGGTAACTTTCTCTCCCAAAACATGCAATAGCGCTTGAATTTTTCGCATACTTGTGCAAGCTATATTCGTAGTAGATAAGTCTTATCACTTCACGAACATAGTGGAGCACGAAATAGTAGGGAACAAGACGTCTTTCACAATTGCAACAACTGATGAAAAAAGTTTTCGTTACATCGTGTTTTTTTACAATCACTTACCGATCCAGAAGGAAAACAGAATTGTGTAGGTGTTTCAAAATAACCCTGAGGGGTGCTTAATTAGCCGGCGACGTGTCATGAAGTAGAGATAAAGTCTCTTAATCTAACAGCACGAAACTAAAAAAGGTAGATCGTAGGCAGTAAGTCACACCACAAGTGTATAAGCATAGGTTGAAATCGTGAGCATACGTATGAGCGGATGATCATACTTTTGAACGGCAGCAAGAAATGGACAATGTTCGGCTGGATAAGCCTGGTATAGGCAGGGATGCTCTTAGCTTTTACATGCTTTTGTGGAGGCAAAATGGACTAATAGTTTTGCTATTTTTGAATGATGTCCACGAATCCACGAGCAACAAGGTTGGTGTTGACGGATTCGAAGCCGTCATGTACGATCGCATTCATTCTAGGTACACGAAGGACTCCTGATCTAGGGGCCATCCACGAAAACACTATGGTGGAAAAGTTGCTGGATGCTTCCCTCTAATTTTTTGGGACCAGAGATTGCAGAGACTGAGCATATCGCTCCGAACTTTCATCGTGAATGTAAATGATATGCAAAGGATTGGAAGGTTGAAAACTTCTTCGTTCGTCGACTCAGTCTTTGAAAAGCGCCCTGTACTCGATTCTTATCATAGGGGCCTTTAGAAAGCGTATGTTGCTTATACAATGAGTTGCGATGACAAAGCAATGTACACGTCAGTGCTTTCGACCACCCATAAGAGTCTGTTAGTGAATAAAACTACTCATGAGGGATGAGAGTTTGGTTGGCCTGAACGAGTATTGATACGGGGTTCCATCTTTAGACCATCCGTATGTGGTAGTCCGTGACACGTGCCACCTCACCACATTCGCTACACTGAAAATAGCATGCACAAATATGCAAAAACATTGAAGCGATAATGCATGTTTCAAGTGAGAAAGTTGCCACTTCAACCTTCGAAAAATCGTGAAAGGCGATAAAATCAACATAAAAGTATTCCATAGGCTACAAGGAAAGAATTCGATTAAAGTGTAGGACTCTCGCCCCTTACATAATCCGATCTCTGGTCTCTCGCACATGAAGTGTCACCCTTTCCACTGCCACCCCTGAAAAATCTTGTGCATTCAAGTAATCCAAGCTCTCTATGTTAAGCCTTACCTGAAGTTATCCCATAACCCCATTCAGAGAAACGCTCGAAAAATTTGGAAAGCAGATTTGAGATTAGCATACCAAAAGACATCTAGCAAAAGCATCAAGACCTGTGGATCACAATTCAGATTGCTTTTTCAAGCATTTACGCAGCGGGTGGGCTTTGGATTGCTTAACCTCCCACTTCAAGCTGGTCGAAGAACTGGGCCAGTTTGTTTGTTATGGCTAGGCATTCGTCTTTTTGATTCATTTTTATTTTTGGGCTCTCGTAAAGAAATCTCGACTGAAACCTCAGTTCGACATTTCCGTGGCAATGCGTCTCATTGTTTCCCAAATAAGTTTCAGGAATTGATCTCTTTGGTTCTACCAAGTGTCCCTCGACCCTATATACATAGAGTAGGTCGTCCATGATTTTCCCTATGCATTCGTCTCCGTACAGCTCGCATGGGATCAACTAGATCATCCCTGATGTCATGCAGCCACTTTCTCGCCTGCTGGGCAGATGACACAGTTGGGAATAACGCAGAGGCGGTTATACAGACGGTTTCAAAGCAGTATCTGCCTGAGTTTTCTGGAAAGGACTTCAACACCATTGACTTCACATCGAGGCTACTTTTGAGCATGTTCTCACTTCAGAGCTGGTGGCAGAAAGAGAGGCGGAAAGTCTCCTCCTCTTATTTTCCGTTGCAAGCTCGTGTGGCCTGCATGTGGTCTGCGGAAGAAATTACCCTTTGATGGAGATTCATAAGTGACAGCCACTTTCCAAGCAAGCTCCAAAGATTTTGCTTCTTCCAACAACCCGATGAGCTGTTTTTGCCGTCTCAAACATGATGGCCTTGATTTCTCATGTAGTTTTAGTGGATGCACAACCTGAAACAGACTGGCATGAACTTGCTGGTAGGTTTCTCATGACAGATCAGCAGAAATTTTCGCCAAAACTTGTGTTACACATTAAAAAAAGAGACGTCAGTTTTAGGTATTCCCCTCGTGAAGCGAATGCTGTCACCTTGGTTGTTCAGCAGCTCTTAACACTGTCCTCTACCTCTGGATCGGAAAGACGACAATGCAATCGTCTACGTAAAGCAACAGCGCAGGACGCAGGACCGCAAGTACCATCTAGAACGGCTTTTCTACTTTTGACATGTAGACAATGACTAGCAGTTGCGCCAGCCGCTGACCCATAGTCAAACTATGACTTGCACAAAGTTTTGCTAGAACCTTTTCAAGATAGATCGGCCCTTGACTCCTCTTGACTGTTCCTTGACAGAATTCATCGTTCACATTACAGCAAATTCACTCGAGAGACTGAGAGACCAAACGAGCTTGCGACCGAAAGTGAGGAGGAGATAACTTTGCCTTCCTCAGTTCTGACGTGAGATTGGCTTCGAGCGAGTGGAGGGTGGTGCGGTTCACGCGTTAATACAATGGCTGCTTTCATAGTCCGCAGGCAGGCGCGCTGGCGCGCAGGCAGGCGCGCAGGCAGGC